ACATACATACATATATATATATATATATATATATATATATTGTAATTTGTAGTTCTTTGTATAATTACTAACTTTTGGAATGATTTTAAGGGATGTGTATAAAGATCACATTTCAGATACTACTCTAAAAATAGAGGAATATTAAGAAATCTGAATTATTAAAGTTACTAGTAATAATTCAGGCAAGCTGGTGGTGAAAATACCCTGTGGTAATTGTAGTAAGTAGAGAACACATTTGGCTGATCACATGTTTATATAGCTTAAGTAAAAGAACTTTTTTAATTAATCAAATGTAATAGAATGTAGAGGTTAAACTTATGTCATACTTTTCCCCCAAAAATGTGTATGTAAACTTATGTTGAAATCCATTCAGAAAATCCTAATAGACATTTTAGTTTTCTCTTTCTTTTATATTTTCTTCTAACTGCCTGATAAAAAAAAAATATGTTCCTTTTCAGATGTTTGAAAATGATGATAAAAATACATTAAAGCATGATGCACAAATTTATTCCATGATATTTGTGATTTTGGGTGTTATTTGCTTTGTCAGTTATTTCATTCAGGTAAGCTTGTAATGAATTTAAAAAATGAACATAAATAATTTTATGCCATCCTTGCTATTTAAGTTAAAAATAATAACTGAATAATCAGATAAGATGTAAGTGGTTAAATACAGTAACTAAATATTATAAAGAAATAAAGAGATTAAAAATTAATGTAGATTTTGTTTTCCAGGGATTGTTTTATGGCAGAGCAGGGGAAATTTTAACCATGAGATTGAGACACTTGGCATTTAAGGCCATGTTATATCAAGTGAGTATTTAGTTGATTTTTTTTATTATTTAAATTGTGTTTTTAAATGTTGGAATGTTTTTTAGTTTTTCAAGAAATCTCTTGATAATTTTCCTTTAATCATTTAAGAGCATGTTTTTGTGTTCCAAGCAGCAAGAAATCTGGCATCAAAAATATATTTATTTCTAATCAAATAAAGTTCAAAATTGTGGTTTACAATATAACTTACAGAAAACAAGGATGTAGAGTCTACTCCTTGCTTCTTACATCTATTTTAATGTATAATTTCTACCATTTGAAAACCAAATTCAAACTAAAATGGAAAGCTAACACCTATAATATCTTGAGAAACAGACTTTATTTTTAATTATGTTTATTGAGGTAATTTTGATTGACACTACTATAAAAATTTTTAGGGGTTTGTAGATTCACACCTCTATAAACATATGCTATCATATCACACCTACCACCAAACCCTCAGTAATCCTCCATTGGTTCTCCTTCTGTTCCCCCCTTTTGTTCCTATTCCTCACCCTTAAGTAGCCTCAATTCGATAGTCAAATTTCATGGACTCATTTTGTTTTTATCAGTTCCTTTGCTTTTTTTTTACTTATGAGTGAAACCATCCAGTACTTTTCTTGAGAAACATATTTTGAAAGGAATAAATTCATTTCTCTAATTCTCATCCATATATACAACTTACTGTTATTTCATTCTAGACTTCATAAAGCAGCCAACCTCTCTACCCTCATCAGAAGAGTCCTGAATTCAGATAACATTCTAACTGCCAGGTTCAGCTTTTCACACACTTGGTCAGTGACACCTGTGAAATGACTAAAAATAGGTAGATCAGGTAGTAATCTTGAGAAGTGAGTCTTGGAAGCAACTGACAGAAATGTCTAAGATTGGCACCTCTAAAATTCCTCCAGGAGGCCAAGGTGTATTAGGTTACCCTGAAAGCCAGTAATCATTTGGAGCCCTTTGCCTGGAATTCTCCCACCAGAATGCACCATGCAGAAGCAAATAGCTTCCTGCTAGGGTTATTTCTTTTCAGAAATTGAGTTGTCATTCTACTCAAATTGTCAAAACCAATTTTTAAGTCTTGTAACTTTTAGGAGTAGTACTCAGAGGAGAACCAAATAACAAAACTCCTAGGCCTCTGGTCTTTTAGAACTACAAGATAAATTCTGCAAAGAATAAGGCAACTAAGAGCTTTCCCAAAGCAAGTTGGTGCCTGATGCCCTCTGCTCATACAGGTCCTATGTCCCATCTTTGCTCCACAATTGGAGACATTCTTTAACCTAGAAAAATGAAAATCTACTAAAAGGATTGTAAAATAATTTAATACCTGCACATCTCACTCATTTTGAGCTTTTAATTCAGTTTTTTTAATGAACACTTTATGTCCCTATTTCAACCATTTAATGAAATAATGTGGAATTTTAATTAACTAATTCTGTATTTCACAGTGGTACACAAGTTCTGCTCATTTTGGGTTTTTGTTTAATTTATGTTTTTCCATATACAAGGAAATTAATATTCAATTTCCAGGAATTACTGAAAATGTTCCCTGAACGTCTCATTGCTTTAAACAAAAGACAAAGTTTAAAGTATTCAAAAGACTACTTTCAATTTCTTCTTTGTTCACAGGAAGCTTTTGGTAATGGAGTCTCAATGTCATGAGCCAGTTTAACCAGTAGAATTGTTGTTAACCAAATATCCTGATCCTTAATACTAGATATCAGTCCTCTGCCTATGTAAACTACCAGGACAACAACATTTTCATACCAAGTAGCTTCTGCTGATAAGAATGGACCAATCTAGAAATAGAGCCATAGACTCTGATCCTTCAAAAAACATATACATACAAAGACTTGCACAGAAACCCTATGGTATTCATAAGGCATTCTTACATTCCCCCATAAATTCAACTGAACTTTTTACCTTACTTTTTTTTTGGCTTATTTTTGTTGTTGTTGTTTTAATATGAGGAAAAGAGTAAAACATTTGGCTTTTTCTTTATTAATAGATTTCCAACTTCATTTTTGTCTATAGTGAGAAAAACTGCTACACAGTTTTACCTTTTACTTTAGTTTTAGTCCTAAGATAAGACATTTTTTAAAGTGTAGAAAGCATGCTCAGACTTGCAATACTGTTTATTAATATTTTAAAATCTCATCTAAGTTAGAAGTATTTATAGAATCAGGTATGGTCTTATAATAAGTATAAAATCTATATTTTCTTTGATTACATAAAGTAGTCTAAAAGAATATTTTTATTGGAGCTGATTACAATGGTAATAAAATATACTGTTCATTGTGTTTCAGAAGTAAAAATGTATTTTACTTTATTTTTATTGAGGAAACAATTTAGAGCTGCACATGATTTAGGGTTCACAACTTTTCAGATGTATGTCACCACACCACACCTACCACTAATACATCCATTTTCCTCAACCATAATCCATTAGGTCCCCTTCTAACTCTGCTCTCTAGCCTCTGGCAGCTTCAGTTGTACAGTCAGATTTCGAGGATTGATTTTGGTTTATTTTGTATGCTTCATTGCTTTGTTTTTCAATATTCCACATACTAGTGAAAGTATCCATTGTTTGTCTTTGTCCTTCTGACTTATCCCACCTAATATCATCCCTTCCAGTTCCACCTATGTTGTTATAAGTGGCAACATTTCATCTTTTGTATAACAGTATTATTCCACTGTGTAAATACACTGCATCTACTTTATCCATTCTTTTGTCACTAGACACTTAGGTTTGCTTGCTTTCCTAACAAGGAACTTCTGAATCTTCCTTTCAACATTTTCTCTTTTTTTGGAAAAAAAAGTTGATCCCAACCTCTCTATTCTGCCATGTTGTGGGTCTAATAAATATATTTTTTTAAAGATTGATTTATTTATTCATACAGAACTGGGGTACAGGCCAGAGATGCAGAGGGTGGGAGAGCCACCAGAGACAGAGTGGGGAGCAGAACAGGCAGACTGTCGAACTACAGCTGAGGGGAGCAGCAGGTGGGTCAGGAGAGGTCTGCCGCACCCTGTGGTCACCTCCGGGGCAGGCGGGGATAGAACTCATGAGGAAGTGGCTTTAACTTCTTAGTGCTGTGCTTTAACCCGCTGTGCCACCAGGGAGGGCCCCAATAAATAGTTTTAAGCTATCTTTGAGATACAGCCTCCACATAGTCCTAACTCACAAGAAATATGTGAGTAAATAGAAATATTCAATAGCTAATAAAATGAAATCCAGACTCCTTAGGGTAAGAAATGCTAAGAGTACTGTCTTCATTAGCTATTGAAAATTAAATTGCTTATTATATTATCCTTTTATTGCTTATATTTCTTACCTGTTTCTTCAGGTTACGTGCTTCTTGTCTGCAGAGGTTTTACACAATGTCCAATTCTTTTAACATCTAGCAGTTAACATGAAGTGTCAGGAAAAGTAGTCTTGCCTATTTGGACCCTAAAGAGAATAAGACAGACATGTTTGTTTTGCTTTATTTTAGTTTTTTAACTTTATTTGATAATCATTGGCTACTTCTCACTCACATTGAGGTTTTCTAGATTTTTGAAAGTTGTGACAGGTACATAGGCAACCTGTGCATACAGCTTGTTTGGTGATTCTTCATCTTCATTGCATTTCCTGGACAACCATGCATGGAATAGAATAGGACATTCCTTATTCCTTTGGCCCAGACAGCTTTGTAGAGACAAGTGCTGGTGTAGACATCTGGAGTGCCCATTTCCTTCATTACATCTTCTCATCACCATTCTTTATAGGAGCCATTCAGCTAGCCCAAACATGAAAGGAGAAGATAGACTTATTATCATTACTAAGTTTAGTTAAAAATATTTGAAAATATTTCTCAATTGTGTTGTATGTTGCCTTACTTTTTAAATACAGTCAGTTTTTCACAAACTTCAAATTACTTAGTAGTTCAAAATGGCCATTTTTAACATTATTATAGAATTTGTAACCCAATAATGAGTCGAATTTGTAGATTTACATTCTTTTTACATTCTTCAGTTTGTATCTAAATATAGATCTTTGTGAAATAAAGAACAAAGGTCACCTGATCCACAGTATTTAGGAGAGGTAAGTACCTGTGAGTGCAAGGAAATGCCTACAAGTTACAGCAACAAAATCACAAGTCAAAGAAGAGTCTTTTTGAAAATCATGTGTTAATTTCTTTGTACCTAGGACATTTCCTGGTTTGATGATAAAGAAAACAGCACAGGAGCCTTGACAACAATACTAGCCACAGACATAGCACAAATTCAAGGAGTACGTATATTGCTTTTATTTTGAATGGTGTATAAGTGGTGTGCATGTGTGCATAGATATATCTGTCTGTATTTATATATGTGACCTATCCTGAAAAGACCCATATGCAAGAGAAGACCAGGGAAGTCTCATAGCTCACAGAGAACACCTAATGAAAGATAAAAGTGAACCTTTCATTTCTGGGTATGTTTAACCAAAAAGAAAGATTTCCATATGTAAAGATGATACCCAAAACTGAATTAGAGAAAAGAATTCTGAAGTAAATAGTACAAAAGGAAAAAAATAACAAAATGAAAGTACACTCTTGCAATTTAGATCTTTTAATATAATATGATGCATAAGGGAAAAAAAGAAAGTCATGATTTTCTGAATGACAGAAAAATCTTAGAAGTATTCTTCCTGTTTAGAAATACTGAAGTTATTAATTACAGCACTGTTACCAGAGCAACAAATTTTCAATTAAAATAGCACTTTCAAAATTGCATTTTCTTTTGGAGGCTATTTTGACAATACATAGCAACTATTTTGTAACTTTTCAAGACCTCTGTTCAGTACATACATCCATGCCTATATTCTATTACCAGAGAATAGGTTGGTTACACTTGTCAATATTTACATATTTCCATTTGGTTTGGAAAGCTAATTTTATGATATAGCAAGAACTCAAAGGGAAGAGGAGCAACATCTTCATCTTCATCTCTTCCTGAAACTCCGTAATTTTGAAGACAAGGCTCTAAATTTCATTAGACAGTATTTAAATTTTATAAAAAGATCAAGGAACTCAATTTTACTGGCATAAATGAGATAAATGATGGGTATATTTTCACTTAATAATCAAATAGCAAGCATAACACAGAAGAATAATCTGAATGGCAACATCTGTGTTTAGGAATTCCAAGGTTCACTACTACAAGCAGAAATATCAATCCTGATAAATCCATTTGAATTCCCATTCCACAGATCTTGCTGGCTTTTTTCTTTACCATACTAATGCTTTTCTCTTACTACCTATTATTCAAGTCTTTTAAGAATCCAGTAGAATCAGTATGATTACCAATATTTTATATGAAATTTCTTCTCTTTTAGAAAGTATTTTAACCCCAAAAGAGCAAGTTAGTACTGAAAGGTTGATATTGCTCTCTCTTAACATTCATTAGTTGGTTCTATTAAGTAGTGTTATCAAGAAAAACTAATGAGAATATTTATCAGCCCAGTTCCTTATTAGTATCTTGCTAATACCATTTAATCACTTGAAATTTTCTTGTTACAACTAGAAAACATTATTCATGTAATTACTCCTGGTCAATTCAAACCATATTAACTGAATGAGAAATAATATGTAAAGAATTAATGATTGAAAAACAGATTTTTAAAGTCACTGAATTTAAAAGTAAGTCAACCAAAGATAGCTAAGAATGAAGCTGTGTTTACTAATATGTAAATCACATAAACCTTTGCTTTATCATAAAAAGGTAGAGTCATATCTAACTTGCATAGATATGCTTTCTGTCAAGGAAGAATTATTTACCAATCCTATTTGTCCATTATCTTTTTTCACAAAGAAACTAGATTATAGCTGAATCAATAAATAATAATTTAAGTTCATACTTTGTATCTTATCAACCCAACTAAGCCATATTCCTTCTCAGTTTCCTCATCATGTAATGTCAGTTACATTTTACTAAATGTGTGATGGTAAATATTTATAACATAACTCCTTAAAAATAATCAACATTATTTCAATCCTTTTCTAATGACTTAAAATGTATTTCCCTGACTATTTTAGCAGCTCTGATACTGTTGAACACTATGAGAAAAACATACTTGTGAAATTAAAGTTATAGAGAAACATGATTCCTAAAATAGTTTATTGAATAACTGCCACTGTTTTAGCCTAAGGTAAAGGTTTATTACCTTACATCTGTCAGCAAACTATTTTCTTTGTACTGTGTGGCTTTATTAAATAAAGGTATAAAACCAGTTTTAGAATTCACAAAATTACAAGGTATTTTTTCTGTGTATTTTAGTACCCCTTTCATCAGCCAAAATTCGTGTATCATTTTTGTTCACAAGAACACCACAGTGTACACTTGATAAACACAGACAGATATTAGTTCCAGAAATTTTTCTCATCAGAACTAAAATTGTAGCATCTCATTAGAAATCATAAAAGTGTCACTCATTAATTCCAATATCCTATTGAGTCGACTATATAGAATCCAGATGTCATTACTGGGACAATGGATGACCTCGTTTTTTAGTTTAAATTCGGGGCAAAGGAAATGTACAAAGCAGTTTGACATTACTTGCAATTCATACAATGCTAGTAGCTTTCATAATAACTACCAAAAATAAGGTTGGATCATGATTACTATTTTGATTTATAATTTTAAATTCATTAGAAGACATTATCAGGTCTATAGCAAAGGCTAATATCCAAAGACGTTTAGCTTTTATTAATCATGTTTCAAGTTGATTGGTTCTTCTTGTAAAGAAAAAATTAAATCTCATCCTCAAACACAAAATACTACAGTAAAATTTTACTGCGGATAACCATCAAACTCTGTGTAGTAAGTCAAGATATTCAACTTCTATCTATCACAAAAGCAGAATTAAGATAGTTAAATCTGTAAGAGCTAGTGAACTTCACCATTGACAATATGACTCAGAAATGCATGATAAATTTAATTTTTCCCACAAAACAGTTGCTGGTGAATGATATAGTTAATAAGCTTTAAACATCATATGCTTCACAGACTTTAAATTTGCCTAACTAAACCTTTTCTTCTGGTCTACAAATGTTTTTCACCATTAGTTTTAATATATCTGAACAAATTATATTTAGTTTGTACTTAGTTTTTTCTCAACTTCTTTGAAAATGTTCTCACCTTTAGTTGTTCTACATAAACTATTCATACCAACTAATTTTCAGTCACTTCACTCAGCATTGGCTTCTCAAAAAAACTAACAACTGATAAGTACATTAACATATGTTAACTCCTGAAGAGCCAGGGAAACTACTCAAGATAATCTACTAGAGCTGTTAGAGCCTAGGGCCCTTCTGCACCCAATCAATGCCTTGTGAATCATGTTTTCCAACCTGTGTGGTGTGAACACACTGTGCCATCTCTTGACAGATGCATTGTTCAGCTGAGTACTCAAGGAAGATCCTTGCCAATACCCACATTTATCTTTATATATATCTCCTCTCTAGTGTTCTATGTTGCAAACTCTAGCTTCCAAGCACACCTCAGACTTTCAACTTTGTCTCCTCAACTGAGAGAGTCTATTGGGCTCCACCTCGGTTCATACTCCCTACACTGCAGCCTGAAAGCACTTTCAAGAAGTAGGCTGGGGCAGTTATAGGACTAACCTTGTTTGTTTTCTGTCCCTGCCCTTGGTTGCTTTAGGTCCAGTATCTTAAGACCACTGGCTATTGCATTGTGTCTATTTATTATCTATTTCAGATGAAAGGAAAATTCTATACCTATTATTTCCTGTTGGTCACTCTTAACTTCTACAATCACATATTGAGTTCCCTTCTATTTATTTTCTTGTACTAGCCATTCCTTGTTGTACACTTGAATTTTCCTATAAAGGTTGTGTTCAGCTTAATACCTTAGACATATATTCAAAAATAATTGTTATCAAAAGATAATGATTACTTTTGATTTCCAAAAGAAAAATGTACCTTTTGTACATTTTGCTGCAGAACCTAACAAAGTTTAAATTTTCCTTTGGTTCCTGTTCTAAAATCTTTCCATTGGTACATGGTTCCTTTAGGTCTTTAAAACCATCTTCCATTTTTTTTCAGTCCTTACAGTATTTTTGTGTTCTGTTAATCTTCCTGGAACAGGATAAAAAGATGTAGATTATTCTTCTCCTACCAACACCAGCAAAATGCAGGGTGTCTGACCCTGCCCTTGGTACACTGAATGAATAGTTCACTGTTGTGGTAGCTTTAACCAAAATGCCAATTAGAAAGGTGTTATTTTCAAGCAGTAAATTAGTGCAGAGTAGCTAGCCCAAGTTTATTGAGTGAACAAGGATGTGCAAGTGCATCTCATTTTATAGAAATTTTATGTTCCAAATACAAAGCTCAAATACAAGACTGACTCATCAAAACTCTGGCAAGTTTACACTTGGATGTTTTTGAAAATGTGCATAGGTGCTTAAACTAATTTTAAGTGACATTGAAATGTTTATCTATTATAGCTCTTTTAAGTATCTCTCTTTCTTAAACATTCTGCATGATTTTATAAATAAAAGCTATAATCCTCAGCATGCTTTCTGTCTTTTCCTATTTTCTGCCACTTGATTTTCTCTTGATTTATTGTCAAGAGCTGCAGTCTTTAAAGTTAACAGGATAAAAACAGAAGAAGGTGGGGCCCTCCTTGGTGGTGCAGCGGGTTAAAGCACAGCACTGAAAAAAAAAAAAAGCACAGCACTGAGAATCTAAAGCCACTTCTGCATGAGTTCGATTCCCGCCTGCCCCAGAGGAGATACACATGGTGTGGCAGACCTCTCCTGACCCATCCGCTGCTCCCCTCAGCAGTGAACTTCCTCAATCTGCCTGTTCTGCTCCCCGCTCTGTCTCTGGTGAATCCTCTCACCCTCCGCATCTCTGGCCTGTACCCCAGTCCTGTATGAATAAATAAATAAATCTTAAAAAAAAATAAACACAGAAGAAGGGAACTAAAAAAAGAAATACATCATGACCACCTAATAGGAAATATTTGAACATAAAAGAACAATTGCCCACCGGATGTATACTTTACTTTTAACAAGATAGGTATAATCTCAGTAACTGAGATCTGAAAAAGGAAAGGTCATTGGCTTCAAAATGGAAAATAAACTGCAAAGTCAAAATTAGTAAATGCATAAAACCTACAACACATAAAACATCAAGTAATTGATGTCAAATGATTTCTTTGTAATAGTTAGCTAACATAAATTTTGTATTAAAATAACAATGAATATCTTACTCATAAAGCTTGACAGTAATTTTTAGAAGTACTTCTAACTATTGCATAACAAAATATATAAAAGGTTGAAGTGGCTGTATGAGCATTTAATAATGGGACCTCCAACTAAACCAAGTGCATAAACTCCACAGCCCATCTATCCAGATAGCTAATCTGCATACCAGTAGCTCTGAAACTCTTGATGGGGGTAGGAAGAGAGGAACAAGTACTGTGTATTTACTTTGCTAGAACTACCATAACAACAGACTGGGTGACTTAAACAACAGGAATGTATTGACTCACAGTTCTAAAGATTAGAGGGCCAAGATCCACATGTGACAGAGATTGTTCTCATTCTAAGTTCTCTGTCCTTGACTTGTAATGATTTGCTTTAACTGCCACACGTGATGCTAAGTACTTGCAAGCTGTCATTTCACTGTACCTGTACCTCAGTGTGGATGTGAGCAAATCTTCCAAATTTTCTGTTCTTGTAAGAACACCAGTCATATTGGATGAAAACTCACCATAAAGACCTCATTTTAACTTAATTACCTCTTTAAATACGTTGTCTCCAAATACACCCACATTCTGAGTAAATGGAGGTGTCAAGAATTTAACATAGGAATTTTGGAAGGGGACATAATTCAGCCCACAATATACACCATCATTCATCTGTTATCTTTCAGCTCTTGAGACACACAGCAAAACTCAGTATTAAGTGCCAAATGACATTCCTATTTTAGCCTCAAGGTCTTAAGAGTTAGAGCATAATACACTAAGACACTTAAAATAGGATTTTTTCAGTATTAACAATTTTTGGTGTTTGCGGCTCTTACTTGGTTTTACTTTTTTGAAGTTTTCTTTGATAGTTCAATAAGAAACAATGGGGTGATTGTCAAATATAGTCTTAAAACTGAAACCACAAAAGTATTTTAGAAATAAGGTAAAATCTCTGGTGGGAGGAGAACTTCTTAATTGTTGTTATTTTTTAATGATGATGCTAATTTTAGGTTACTTTAGTGGAAATTGTTATAATCTTTAAAAAAGGAGTAATTTGATAGTAGCTTAAAAATATAAGTGTACCTACACTTTAACATATAATTATAATCTAGGAATTAAACATTAGGAAATAAGAGATGAGCACAAATATTTTATACAAAAGATATGCAGTGTATCTTTATTTTTTAAAGTGAAAAAAGTATCCTAAATATTTTTTAAGAAAACTTAGTAACCCAAGAAAAATCTGACAGTATGGACTGAAGGGATAAAAGCAGTATATAAAATAACCCACACACAATAATCCTAATCTGAATGTGCATATATGTTTATGTCTAGAAGAATGTAAATATTGATATTATTTAAACCTTTTTCAATGGTCGTGTTTTTATGATCAGATCAAAATCTATATTTTAAAATGTGACTTGATATTCTCGTTTGACTAGTATGTTCTAGGAACAAGGGCCACATTCTGTCATCCCAGTACTAAAGAAATTTAATACTTCAATTTATTATTTAAATATATATGCCTCACTGAAAGATGATCTATAAGACATATTCTTCTTTTTTTTTTTTTAAGATTTATTTATTTGTGCATACAGAACTGGGGTACAGGCCAGAGGCTCAGGGGCGGTGAGAGGCTTCACCAGAGACAGAGTGGGGAGCAGAACAGGCAGATCGACGAAGTACATTGCTGAGGGGAGCAGCGGGCGGGTCAGGAGAGGTCTGCCACACCATATGGTCACCTCCGGGACTGGCAGGAATCGATCTCATGCGGGAGCGGCTTTAGATTCTCAGTGCTGTGCTATAACCCGCTGAGCCACCAGGGAGGGCCCTATAAGACATATTCTTATAAAACAGTTACAAAGATGTTTATAAAGGAGATTTAGTAAATAATGATGTGTGCGCACACATGGAACAGTAAAAATGGAACCCCAAAGTTATAGAGACATGTAAATACCTGACAAATTATTTTTTTTAACATTTCTACTCTAATTTTTTCAGACTCGAAGCTACCTTATACCATGATGTCCCAGCTCCCTTTCTATCTTGATATTGCTCCTTAGATCCTTATTCAGTCAAGCAAAGTTAAAAGTACAAAAAAGAGAATACAAGATGGTGAATCCAAAATATACACTTTAATGAATATCCTTAGTCATTCAATTCACCACCAGGATGGTAAAAAGTGCCTGCTTCTCTTAACATAGGTGGAAGGGGCAGGGCTGGGTTTTGGAGCCCATACGGTGAGTTGAGACTCCAATATGAAGGCAGAAAATGTGGGGAAGCAGAACCAAAGGACAGGAGTAAGGTGTCCATGCAAGGGAGAGGTATGTACCATAAGAACAGATTGGCTTCGTATAGACAGATTATTTATACAAATCTGTTTTTAAAAAAACCAAGAAACATGCTTTTCACTGTTTAAGAAAGGGATAGCAAATACTGCAAAGGAGATAGCTGGAAATAATCCTGCTTTAAATTGAAATTGGAATAATTAACATGAACTTACAGACTTCAAGAAATATAGAGAAATAGATGTTGACTTCATTGTGTGCATACATCAAAATACACAGATTCCCAGTTCTGTATACTGACGTGCCATTAATAACTAGTAATGTGTAAAACTAACACCATATCTGAACTTCTAAAGAATATTCTCCACTAAAATGAAACAAGGTCCTTATAGAAATTATTGGTTTCAGGGGTCGGTTCTAGAAAATCTTTTTGTGTCAGAAAGTAAAAAAATACTCAACCATGGTAGAGACATGTAAAAATACAATAAAGTAAACTTGAAGGGACTTACACTGACTGCATCTCAGACAAATTGAATATCCAAATAAGCCAATTATAGTACATTACAAACCACGAAGAAAAAAGGAAAACATTAGTCCATAGTGAAGCAAATAAATTGAAAGCTTAATAAGGAATTGGATATTTACATAGCTTCAAAGTAACTACCCTCAAAACACTACATATAAAGGGGATTAAAAGCTTTATAGTAGAGAGAACCTAGAATGCACTCTCTTAATTAAGTAACTAAAATGAACAGCACCAGGAACAATCATATGTGTGTTACCTGATAGTATGCAACACAGCATCTTTACTGTGGGATTCCTGCCAAAGATGCATAATCTGAATCTAATCATGAGCAAATGTCAAATGAGTTAAAATTGAGAGACATCCTATCAAATAACTAATCAGTAATCTTCCCCCAAAAAGTCAAGGTCACAAAAGTCAAGGAAATAAAGAACTGTTCCAAATTGACGAGAGACGAACAACTGAATGGAGTGTGTGATCCTGAATTAAATACTCTTTTGCTATGATAGACATTATTGAGATAATTGACAAGATTTGAATTACAACTAAGTATAGAAGCCAAATATTTGATTATGAGAGCAATGTTTGTAAGAAATCACCCTTAAGTATGCAGTGATGACAGGGCTTCAGGTCAGACACTTACTCCCTCTAGTTGGAGGAAACAAAGAGAGTTCATATCCTCAGGTTACTAAATGTTTGACTGTGGTCAAGTTATGTTGTCTCTCTGTCACTGTTTCCTCTTCTGTTTTACAGGACTAATGTATTTTATCATTGTTAATGGAAGATAAAGCACTTATTTGATCCTCAGTAGATATCTATTTTTTGAATGGCCTTATATTTTAGCAACACTCTCATATTAATCAAGATAAAAGTACCCCTTTAAGTAGGTGGCATTTAATTTCAAATAGTTGGTGTCAGCCTTGCTTCTATACAGTTGTCTACGGTGTCCCTCTAAACTAATTGGACTTCTCAATATTGAACATGACAAAAAAATTGTAATAACTCATTAGCAGAGGGTTGAAAATATATGTGTAATATTTAAACTCTAAGTATAAATTCAAAGTAAAAATTTAAGTATAAATACTAAAATAGGGCCCTGCCTGGTGGTGCAGCAGGTTAAAGCACAGCACTAAGAAGCTGATGCCACTTCCGCATGATTTCAATCCCCACCTGCCCCGGAGGTGACCCACATGGCATGGCAGACCTCTCCTGACTTGCCCGCTGCTCCCCTCAGCAGTGTACTTCCCCACCTGCCTATTCTGTTCCCCACTCTGTCTCTGGTGAATCCTCTCACCACCCCTGTACCTCTGGCCTGTACTCAAGTTCTGTCTGCATAAATAAATAAATCTTTAAATTAAAAAAAAAATCCTAAAATAGCAACTATAGTAGGTATTCTTGAAATTTTTTTAAATTAGCTAACTTTGGGCTCTCCCTGGTGGCACAATGGGTTAGAACGCAGCACTTCAAAGTGGCTGCAACTGCTTCAGTACAAGTTCGATGCAAGTTCAGTACAAGTGCAGTACAAGTTCAATCCCCCGCCCAGAGGTGATACACATGGTGTGGCAGACCTCTACTGACCTGCCTGCTGTTCCCTTCAGCAGTGTACTGAATCATCAGTAGGCCTGTTCTGCTCCCCACTCTGTCTCTGGTGAAGCCTCTCACCACCTCTGCACCTCTGGCTTATACCCCAATTTCGTATGAATAAGTAATCTTTTAAAAAAAGCTAACTTTTCCCCCAAAATGTCTCTGATTGACCCTCCCTGGTGGCGCAGTGGGTTAAAGCACAGCACTAAGAAGCTTAAGCCACTTCCACATGAGCTCGATTCCCGCCTGCCCCGGAGGAGATCCACATGGCGTGCAAACATCTCCTGGCCCGCCCGCTGCTCCCCTCAGCAGTGTGCTTCATAGATCTGCCTGCTCTGCTCCCTGCTCTGTCTCTGGTGAATCTTCTCACCCTCCGCATCTCTGGCCTGTACCCCAGTTCTGTATGAATAAATAAATCTTTAAAAAAAAATCTTCTCTGATTACAGGCAACAGGTTCAAGGATTGGTGTCTTAACACAAAATGCAACTAACATGGGACTGTCAGTTATCATTTCCTTCATATATGGATGGGAGATGACACTCCTGATTCTAAGTATTGCTCCAGTACTTGCACTGACAGGAATGATTGAAACTGCAGCAATGACTGGATTTGCCAACAAGGATAAACAAGAATTTCAGCGTGCTGGAAAGGTAAAGTAAAGCCCATTCTTAACATTTCAACATCTTAAGAGAAAACCAGAGCTCCCATCTTTATGATATTTTAACCACATTTCTTAGAAACTGCAAAATGGACTATACATATTATATAAGCCAGTTTAGGTTGGAGTGTTTCTGTGTTACAGATATGTGGTGTATAATTTAAAACATGGAGTCACAGTTAAGTTGTATTAAGACTCATTTAATCTAAGTTCGAACTTAGATTCTATCACTGACAAATGTGTGATATAAGCAACTTAACATCAACCCTGTGGAACCTCAGTTTAGTCCTAGGTAAAGAACTAAAGATTTTTTTAGTACACAAAACATTTACTATTATAATATATGACACTTTGAATACTGTTTGAAAGACAATAAGCACACAGTAATGCCAGTTGTTCTACTGTTAGCACATCATATGTGAATTTGATGCCATCATGATTCCCAATTCTCTTATTGTTATATGATTAAATTTTCCTGAACAATTCTGGGTATTCTACTTTTTTTTTCCCCAAAACAAGCATAAAATATAATAGTTACTGAACACAAGGCAATGGGCTTAATATTTATCGTCCCTAAAACAAAATTTTACCTATAAGGACCATTTTTATATTTATTAAAATGAAAGTTGTATTTAATTACCTGGAAAAATGTTTTGATACAATTGAGTTTCTCAGAATCAATCAAATTCATACAAGTAATCATTCTATTGGAGACTTAGAGAATCATAAGCACTGCAAGATCATAACATCTAAGAGCTGAAAGTGATGTTATTTGATGTAAAAACATACCCAACATTGGAATCCCTGTATAGCACCCTATAGATGAGTATACAGCCATCTTCTACACACTCCTTCCCTATAGTCTCAGTCAGTGCATTACTTTCCAGATTGTCTACCCTTGGAAGCCCTTGAATGACATGCAGTTTTTGTGTTGCTTTGTTTTGTGGCCTTCTATCTTATTCTTCTTGATTTTCATCTTGGTAGAAATCCAAAGTCCATTTTCCTGACAGCCTTTCAGAAGCTGTGTCATGTAAATGAGCTTTATACAAGGCATTCATCCCCTGGTTTTTAAGTCACCCCTCTGATGATACAATTTCAAAATCTTTACTACATTGGTGAACATTCTCTGAACATGAAAATTATTTTAATAGCATTTATGGCCAGCATCAGTGGCTATCACAGTTGATATATTATAATCGCCTTGGATACTCATGAATCATTTGATACTCAAGTGACTGACTCATAGAAGTCTAGTTTTTATGCCTCTTGGACCTTCCCAATTTCTTGCCCTATTGAAGGATAGAACAATATAGAGAGTGAACTACATAGCATGTATTTGCCTTACTGACAGTGAATAGCTTTTTAGTCTTCCCTGTTTGTAAAATATCACAAATTCCAGATTAACCAGATCCTAATTATTTATTTTCATTTTTCTTATTTTTTATATCGTGGGTTTTAGTTGTATATGTGCCCTTTTAACATTTTTTGGGATATCTTTAGAGTAGCTTCAAGCTATATAATCAGTAGCTCCCACTGAACAGGCAATTTGAGTCATCTCCCTGCAATTTTTAATCCATCAGCCAACCAAACACCAACTTAGAATGTGGACCAATAAAACATATGATTTTTCTTGGGTTGCACATTAGATTGGGAAAATAGTCTATTTTCTTTCTCAGACTTAATATGGCCATATTAGTAAAATAAATTAAAATAAATATTCTCAGTCTTTCCCCATTGTGAATAATAATTACAAAGATATTTTTATTTGTCTTTTTCCTCAAGGTTTCAGAATCTTTTTTTTTTTTTCCTTATTGAGATCACATTAGTTTACAACACTATACATGATCCAGGGGAATAGGTTCACACCTCTTTAGATGTATGTTACCATCCCAGCCCCACCATGAAAGCACCCATAGTCCTTTACCCTAGGCCACTGTATCCTATCCTTCCTTTTTCTCTACCCTCACCCTCTCTCCCTCTGTAGAAGCCTTAATTTAGTTTCAGAATACTTATCCATGTTCTCTGTAAACCACAGATATTACAAATGGAGGTTTCTTTGTGTTCATTTTGAAAACTAAGGAGAATTCTGACTATCTCAACATCAAAATATAGAGATAACCCAGGTGTCCTGACCACTGTCTCTAATCCAATTCTCCTTTACATAATGCTGAAAGTCTGCCTAGGTCCTGCTCTGCACTATCATGTTCTGTGGAATAGAAAGTGAAAAACAGAAAGTATCTCTTTCAAATCAATAGATAGTCTCATGTTCAGTAGTTGTTCCAAGCAAGTCTCCTTTTTGAACCCCATGTTATTGCTCATTCTTTTTGAAAACTACATGAGAAGCCTTAATCCTATTTGAATTAAATATATAGTTAAGTTATAGATATCAAAATGATAAATAACTACATCATATAAAAAAAATTTGTAGCCACATGCATTGTTTCTATATTGGGATGTCCCTGAGCCCTTTCAGTTGCTATTTGCATTTGGTACTAGAACTATATATTTTATTTGATACTCATTGAATTATCTCATAATTATCACATTTATATGATTGCCTATGTACATAATGCTTATTTATGTTTGATTTATTTGCCTGTAGAACCAGTTTTTTTTTTTAAGATTTATTTATTTATGCATACAGAACTTGTGTACAGGCCAGATGTGTTGCAGGGGTTGAGGGACTTCACCAGAAACAGAGTGGGGAGTAGAACAGGCAGATAGACTGAAATACACTACTGAGGGGAGAAGTGGGCGGGTCAGGAGAAGTCTGCCACGCCATGTGGGTCACCTCCCTGGCCTGGGATCCAACTCAGCTGCAATAGCTGTGGATAGCTTCTTAATGCTGTGCTTTAGCCTGTTGAGCCACCAGGGAGGGCCCTATAGAACCAGTTTAAATTGAAATGCAGTAAAGACTTGAAGGGTGCTAAATGTAGATGAAAAGACTAAATAAATCTTTTCAAAAGAAATATTCCTTGACCTTATTATCCTGAAATGTTATTTTCCTGACTTATTTTGAGAAAGATAAAGGAAAACTGATTAACCTGATGTACTTACTATGGCCCCAGTTATATCTAGAACTCATAATCAGGAAAAACTTACCCATTACTAATTTTATTTCTAAGTTTTATTGTCCTATTTTACAAGATAGCAATTGAAACTGTGGAGAATATACGGACTATAGTGTCATTAACAAGAGAAAAAGCCTTTGAACAAACATATGAAGAAACTCTTCAGACTCAGCACAGGTAATTTTAGATTCATTCCAAATCCATTATCATTTGTTCAAAAAAGGCAGTGTTTGTGAATATCTCTTATGGTTTATCCTAGAATTTGCTCTAGGATCTTTCCTGATAATGGCATATTGTATTTTCTCATATGACTTCACCAAAAGAAGAGGAATCAAAGGCAAACATGGTTATAATAAGTGTTATAAACCTCCCACATTACCATGTGCTGTCCATTGCCACGTATTGTTCATTACCAAATGTACACCTTTATTTTAATATTCCTAAAACAAGATTAAGACAACATATTCAAGAAAAATACAAGAATACTCAGTCCCTTATTGTGAATCCTTCAAAGAGTTCACATTTTAAAACAACAAAACAACATATACATAATAATGTGATCACCCCTTTTAATTTTAAACTAGTGTTGCTTATCACATTTACTTAGTAATGCCCTTTGTAGTCCTTTATCAGAGAGATAGCTTTGTGCTCTTTTCTATTCATGCTTGTGCTTGGTACCACCCTTTCATTTCACTATTTATTCTGTTAGTATGAGATTAAGGTAGAAAATATGTCTCAATACTTCTTTAACTCCTTTCTCACTTTGGCAACTCACTTGAAAGTAAACAGAAGAAATTTTACACTAAAATATAAAATACATAGTTAAAGAGGAAATTGGTGCTTTTTTGTTTCTCTATGATAATTTTCAGTAATTTTTAAAAATCACTTTTTCTTTAATTTTTAGAAAAACATGCATCCCCTAAAAAAAATTTCTGTGCTATATTCATTATACTAGACTTGCTAAAATGACTTTCCTATACTTCTTTCCCATTATTTAGTAAATTTTATGTATTTCAGAAATACTTTGAAGAAAGCACAGATCATTGGAGGCTGTTATGCAATCAGCCATGCCTTTGTATACTTTGCCTATGCAGCAGGATTCCGGTTTGGAGCCTATTTAATTCAAGCTGGACGAATGACCCCGGAGGGCATGTTCATGTAAGCTGCATAAATATACAGATACTTCAACCAAAAAGTTAATAGTAACTTTGTCATTTAAATCACATGTGTTAAAAAGACATGCTTGGAAATATTTTTCTTTATTATTTAACATCAAGCTGGTAAAATACTAATACTGATATAACATAAATAATCTGAATTAAATTCTAAAATAAACTGTTCCCTGCTTTGGTTTATTCAAATAAGGAAATAGGGAGATAAAAATCCATTCCTTCAAGAATTTCTGAGGCTTAGTGGAATTCCCAGAGTGGAGATGGCTTTATCAGTTATGATTGTAAAATCAGTGAGGTTCAGTTCTTTTTAAGCAGATACTCCAGAAGAAACACATATAAATGATTTTTAGAAAAGTCATACTCAAAATGGATCATGGCATCACTGTTGCTGCCTCTTCCCAATATATTTGTTGGAATACCTTCTTTAGAATTTGTTCACATAGTTATGAATTTCTACCTAAATTCATCTTCTCAAATTAGAAAAATTAGTTCTGATTGTTAATCCCGAGCTTCTTAAACTTCTTTAAGATATCAGACGTGTTATAAAGCTATGTCATAATGTCATTGTTAAACATTTAGAACTAGAGAAATCAAAAAAGAATTTGACTCCAGAAAGCAACCATATATTCATTCATTTATTTTAACAAGCCCACCAAAGCATACACCTCAAAGCAAAGACCGACCTCTTCAAAATAATGACCTTAAGAGTACCAACAATAGGGCCCTCCCTGGTGGCACAGCGGGTTAAAGCACTGCACTGAGAAACTAAAGCCACGTCCGCACTAAAGCCACCTCCACATGAGTTCGATTCCCGCCTGCCCCGAAGGCGACCACATGGTGAGGCAGACCTCTCCAGACACGCCCGCTGCTCCCCTCAGCAGTGTACTTCGTCGATCAGCCTGTTCTGCTCCCCACTCTGTCTCTGGTGAATCCTCTCACCCTCTGCATCTCTGGCCTGTACCCCAGTTCTGTACGAATAAATAAATCTTTAAAAAAAAAAAAAGAGTACCAACAATATTGCCACTTGGCAAAGTATACTGGGAGTGCCTCTTTGGGATTTGGCTTCCAGGACAGTGTCATATTCTCATAATTTCCTCCTTGGTGTCACATATTTGTGCTTTGAGGATATACTTGGTTTGAAGAAATGACCAAAATTCACTTGAAGTCAAATAATTTCAGAGTAACTTGGAATAATTTTTATATTTATGTGACTATGTGTGTATGTATATACTTATCACACATTAACTTGGTTCCCAGGAAGTTTCTTTGCTAGGCACTCAGAAGAAAATAGTTCCCCTTTTATCAGCCCGGTATTTCTGAATCTAACCTGATTCTAAGGGCATTCAGTGGTTTCTAGGAAACATTTCCTTGTAGAATGAAATGTCTGCTTAAAATTTTTATAGAAATTACAGGCTTTCTGTTCTACTACAGAGAGTGGGTATGTCCTCCCACCCTCTAAAACAGTGCATGGTATTGCTTATGTGAATATATAAACCACAGTGTAGCCTTGGATTTATTTCTTTCTGATTATACAACTAATTATTCAGATAGGTTAACAAGCAACTAAATGTAGAATCATGTAAGTTAATTTATTGAGCTCACAACCTGCACAAAATTACTTTTTCTCTTGATTCTAATGTAATACAGGCTATTCTAAGTTTAAAAGTAAGTTCAATTCCAGTAGTTTGCATGCAAGCCAATTGTTTGAAAATCAGAACATGTTTTCCTATTGCCATAAACTTTTTGCCAACATCTTTAAATCCCCAGGTTTTAAAGGGGATCCCATTCTTTCAGTAGAATTGGTATTTGATATTAATAGGGAACAAGACTATTAAATACACTTATACCAATGTGGGTTATCTGATGGTTGATCAGTCCATACAGAAAGTTTTTCATTTTTAAAAGCAATTGTAGTCCAAGTGAATTTTTAATGAGTTTACCTGAAGATGGTATAAAAAAAATAATCAAGAAAGAACCACCTCATCTTTCCAACACCAAATTTTATAAGTGTAGCACATTGTCCACCATGTCTGCCCCTCAGTGGAAAAACAAAATTTTCTCATCTATGATGGCTTCCTTTGCTTCTCTCATCACATTGGTTTCTCTAAATCTGTTATTTCTTTTCTTTATGACCACTTCTCTTAAAAAGAGAGAAATCTCCTGTGACCCTAAATCCTTTTCTACCTAATTCCAATATCTCTTCCTCCTCTATAGGAAAACAGATTCCAAAGAATTACCTGTATTTGTTCTTTAGACCTTCTTATCTCCAGTCTCTACTAAACTCATTCCAGTAAAGCCTTATCCCCTATCACACCACTATCAAGGATAAGCTGATCCCTTTCTTGCCCACCCATACAGTCTTCCAGTGCTCAGTTCTCCAGTATCACTTGACTTGACCTCTCCTTCCTAAGACACACATTTTCTTCTATAGACTTTCTTCTTTATTATTGGTTCCTCTTCCTCTATTTCCTTTACTGGCTAGTTTTTCTATCAGGCCCATGTACTAGACATTTCTTCATCTACATAGATGATTTTAAATATTACCTGTATCCTTATAACTCCCTACTGGGTATTTCCAACTTTGGTCCCACTTCTGAACACCATATACTTATCCAGCTGTCTGCTGGACTTTCCACTTGAGTGTTTAATAATATCTTAATAATCCAAATCAAAATAAGATTTTTTTTTCTCCCTGAAATGTCTCCTCCTCAATACCTCTTCATCTTAGTAAACAGTACTACTGTCTATACAGTTACTCCACCCAAAAATCTAGAAGTCTTCTGTGCCTTTCCTGCCACATAAAACATCAAGTCCAAAACACTGTTCACCTTCTACATCCATATTACCCTCTTCCATATGGAAGAACAATACAGACACCTCTCTAAGACAGAGCCATTCATATCACTTTTGTTTGAGGTTCATTTAATCTGACAACAGACTCAGTAAGGCTGTCTGTACTCTTTACATATGGACAAAGGAGAGGGTCTCTGAGAAATATGAGCACAGGGCTGTGAAAATATGAATAGATGAAATCTGCTTTCAACATCAAATCTCTGTCACTCCTAGAGTCCCCCAACAAACATGAATATGTCACAATATCCCTTTAAGTATACTAACTTACACCTGAGTACTCTGCCTTCCAGAATCCAAGGTGACAGACAGATTTCTATCTAATCAATGAATTAAATGTAAGAGGTTTACAAAGAAAACTTTCTTCTACTAAAACCCTCCTTAGGCCTTCTAGAAAAGATCTTTGTGACATTCTCTAAGTCAATGATTTCCCAACTAAACCATCAAAGAGCTGGTTAAAACTGTAGATACCCAGAGGTCACCTAGAGAATCTAACTAGGAGATTTAGAGATCTGGTATAGAGCCAGCAACCTGCATTTTTTTTTTAATTTATTTATGTATACAGAACTGGGTACAGGCCAGAGGTGCAGGGGCAGTGAGAGATTTCACCAGAGAGAGTGGGGAGCAGAACAGGTAGATCCACGAAGTACACTGCTGAGGGGAGCAGTGGGCGAGTCAGGAGAGGTCTGCCACACCAAGAGGATCACCTCCGGGGCAGGGGTCAAACCCACACCAAAGTGGCTGTGGCCAGCCTGCAGGAGGGCCCGCATTTTTTTTTTTCCAAATAGATTAGCTGTAGCACAGATGGAGAATTGCACATTAAGAAAGTTGAACATAGGGAAAGAATCTCAGACTGCTCTCTCTAGCTTTTTAAAACCCTAGGGTTTTCTTTTGACCTCTACCAGAAACCTTCCTAGCATTATATCAAAATTGGAGAAGTCATAATACTTTATTGTTAAAAATAAACCAGTTTTACTTACCCTAATAAAATGTGAACATATTCATGATTTACAACTACAGGGATGGATAAGCACTCTCTTTCAAAAATGACAGTGCACTTTAGAAAGGGAATTTTAACAGCAGAATTCTTTGATGTTCTCATAGTATTTGTTAATCATCAAGGTCACTATAAGTCTCAGCTTTTTCTCTAAAAGCAAAAGGCAACATGCATTTCTTATGGTAGAAACTCTCTATCCATCTGTTATTGTAAAACTGTCTCAGAAATGGGCACTCTAAAAAGGGCAATAACATTTTCACTCCGCAGCCTTTAAATCAGTACATATTTAGAAGATCTCTTGTTTAGATTTTCATACACATATTTGGGATAAAACACTCCCCTCTGCCTGTTAAACTAGCAATTCTAGGGTTTTTACTTTACTGTCAAAGCAGAGACTTAAGAAATACAACATAAGTTATCTTCCCCTGTCTTATTTTGCATTAGTGCCTCTAAGTAAGTTCCTAACTGATTTTCCTTTTTGCAAAATAGTCAGAAACCTATGGAGGTTCTACAACTCTCCATACCTTTCCTTCAGAACTCCTTCATCACTCCTTCTTCTTTGCTATACATATAAGCAGGAAGCTAAGTAGAGCAAATAGATAAAAGAGAGTCAAGGCCTGACAGTCTTCAGTGCAGTAATAATAAGCTCCAGCTTTGAAGATTGCCCATAAAACTAGGGCAGGCAGTTCTGTTTATAGCCTAGTCCTCCAAAAATCCAAAGGCAGATTCTGAGAGGAAATAATAACTGGACTTTTAATATTAAATGTCATTATTGGCCAAAATAGCAAGGTAGGCAGGTTTTCAATGAATCTTACTAGTTTGTTGAGACCTTGAAATATCAAGGGATAGAAAGAAGCAAGCTAGACTTCCATTGCCATCTTTGCTCTAATAGGCTACGCAGCCATGGGAGAACTGTATGTCATCATTAAATTAAAAAAGCAACATTTTGCCCAAACAAAGAAAACAGGAAAGTCTTTTTTCAGATTCACTATTAAGGCAGCCACCCAGATTCTTCCTGGCCCCTCCCCCAGAGCTCATCCAGAAGAAGGGAATCAGATAAGGACACCAGCTAGAGAGAACAATGAGTGAAGGAGACCAATAACCATTAAAGGAGGCAAATCAGGGGAGATTTGATATCTAGGGCCCTCTGAAGGATGTAAGATGGGAAACATTTGACAAACCTCAAAATTCTGGGAGAAACAATGCAGGCCAGCTGTCCATGGCAGTAACAGGGGAAAACACACTGAGCAAGTTCCAGCCCCATGGCTTATACCTATGTGAACCTGGGCATATTGCTTAATTTTTGTAAGCTGGAGTTTCCCCATTTGTTAAAAAGCGGTAGGAACTCCTGACCTACTTATCTCCTAGGTGGTATCATATTTATGAAGACATTCTATAAGTCCCAAATTACCAAATACATGTATGTTGTATATTTGTCCCACCTGTTGAGGAATGTGTTTTGGTAGAAGAGGACTTTTGGAAATGTTATATGGATGTTAGGGAGAAAAGTATAAGCATGGGAATAATTGTAATGGCCACCTTTGCAAGAAAAGATTCTCTATTTTCTGGTCAAATAAAAGAAATTTAACTTAGTGCAGACTTCAAAAGTCAAGATTTGACCTGGTGTGCTGACGTATATCTGCAGAAATTTGAAAGTTTATTTTCTAACAGATAGTGTTTCATTAAATATCTATTCTGTAAAAGGAATAACAACTTATTTTGGTTGAGTACTATACTAAGCACTTTAGATTATTTATGAATTTAATTCTCACAGCAACCCTATCTGATGTAGATATTCTTATTATCTCCTGTTTGCCAATAAGGAAACAGAAACATAGAGAATATAAGTAATGCCCAGGGTCACAGAACTAGTAAATAAATGGTTCTAAACCCCCTAGTATACTTCCTGTTAGAGTAAGTCACCATATCTAGCCTACAAACTGGATATGGAAGTATCCACTCTGTATAGTTACACCTAATAATTTGAACTCACTTTTCATGGTGGGGTTTTTAGGACAGCTAGTTATTTTGACCCATCGCAAATCAGAGGAGAAAGGTTATGTTCTCAGTTCTTGACTTCTCAAAAGTCTCTACCCCACTGGGACTAGAATCTAGGTTTATTGGCTTATATTATCTTCTCATCTCACCTGCTGAGTAACTTGCTCAGACTGATGCTTAAGTCTGATACAGTCTGATTTTTTCCCTCATATTACAAACGGCAACAAAAACAAACAAAAAATTCTGATTTGCTTTTATTTTTTTTTTTAAGATTTTATTTTTTGTGTGTGAGAGAACTGGGGTGCAGGGGTAAAAGGATTCATCAGAAACAGGAAACAGAACAGACAGATTGACTGAAATAGACTAAGGGGAGCAGTGACTGAGACAGGGTGAACAGCTCAGCTATATAAAGTGGGTAAGCTCCTTACCAAGGGGATCGAACCCAGGCCACCAGGATGATAGCACTAAGCCTTAACCCCCAGGCCACCAGGGAGGCCCTTTGATATGTTTTTAAACTCAGTAACCATTTCCGATATATATAATTAGGTCCTAAATATTTCAAATGGTACTTTGAGCTTTAATCTATTTCTATAAATATTAGTACTAAAATCCCATGACAGCACATAACTAGTGGCCACAATAACTTTAGCATTAGACTGCCCTATAAACTGGTATTTTGCATTTTATACTGTTTGAACTTTGTATGGAAAACAAAATCTAGAACCTGAGGTCCAGGCCACTGAAGCCATTATATCAACATCCAGCCCTTAGTAGGTTCCACCTTTGGAGAAAGTCATAAAGAGACATGTTTACCTTGCTATATATGTACAAGGTACTGGGGTTTGTGATGTCCTTTTACTGCCTAATGTTTAAATATTGCCAGTCTTAGCTGAATTATACTTTTACCTCTACTACTGAGATGCATTATTTTCATTCCAGTAAAATGTGTTCACGTCTAAAATGAAATAGAAAATAAAAAGAAAATGTTTGACTATGGCCACATGATGTCACATTTCTGTGAAAATGCTGTATGCTTCCAAACATTATTTGCATACTTACCATTTTATAATTAACATGTTTTGAAAATGGGATCTTCATCTATCACAGATCTAAAAGATCAAAGCTAATCTTTCCAATTTTGCTAAGGAATATTTTAGTCATATACACACATACACACACGTGTGTGTGTGTGTGTGTGTGTTTAAAGATTTTTTTTATGCACACAGAACTGGGGTACAGGCCAGAGGTGCAAGGGCAGTGAGCAGATTCACAAGAGACAGAGTAGGAAGCAGAACAGGCAGATCAACAAAGTACACTGCCGAGTGGAGCAGCGAGTGAGACAGGAGATGTCTGCTGTGCCATGTAATTGCACCACCAGGGAGGGCCCTTAGTCAAATATTTTTTTAAGACCTTCCTTAGAAAAGACAATCTCCTACAGCCTTTGCTAACTTTCCATCACATAGGCAGATAGCCAATCATCCAGCATCAATTATCTCTTCTAACTATATTATATACAAAAAGAAGAAATCCCATTTATATCTACTGTGTAAATTCAGGACTGGCCACTGAAAGAGATTCATTCTTCCTATTTCAATTGAAGTTGCTGTCACATCTCCAAGCAATTGAACAGTATATAAAAATGCCTAAGAAGTTTTATTTTCACTTATTAAGACCTTTGATCTGGCATTTAGAGCAAGAGATTATCACTACATGGTAGGAAATTACAAAAGAGCTATCATTGCCTGGCCTTCAACATTAGTGGTATTGTTTCTGGCCAAAAGGGTATATTCCTATGCCTGCCTGCCTTTTCTTTTGCTTTAAGCTGCCATTGTTTTTAAATGGGTCTAACTAAGATTCAAATGCCTTGTCTTTTTCATAGAGTTTTTACTGCAATTGCATATGGAGCTATGGCCATGGGAGAAGCACTTGTTTTGGCACCTGAATATTCCAAAGCCAAATCCGGGGCTGCACACTTGTTTGCTTTATTGGAAAAGAAACCAACTATAGAAAGCTATAGTCAAGAAGGAAAAAAAACAGTAAGCATAACTATAATTTTAGATGTCTACTTAATTTATCTATATACAGACTCTCCAAATAGAGATTAAATGAAAGCATTATTTGATAGTTCTGTAAAAGATAGTGCAATAAAGAATTAAAAGTTTGTATAAAATAATTGTTATGGCTACAATGAAAGAGATCTTGATCACACTTTCATTTCTACCAAAAAATATATACATGTTTTTTAAAAGATTTATTTATCTATGCATACAGAACTGGGGTACAGGCCAAAGGTGCAGGGGCAGTGAGAGGATTCAACAGAGACAGTGGGAGCAGAACAAGTATATCTATTGAAATACAATGCTGAGGGGAGCAGTGGGCAGGTCAAGAGAGGTCTGCACACCATGTCGGTATCCTGGCCGGGGATAGAACTCATGAAGTGGCTGCAGCTAGCTTCATAGTGCTGTGCCGGAGAGGGCAAAAAATATATTTTTATATTAAAAAATATACTTTATTTTCCTGATACCAAATTCTTGAACAAGGACTGATACTTATATTTAATTTTATATATACAGTTAAAGTTTTAATCTTGAGTGAAGAATTGCATTATTGTTTATTCTTTATTTTCCTATTATAATATATGCAAAATAAAAAAGTATCCTCCTATTAAAAACACCATTTTTCATGGAAATGTACCTGCAAACTGAAAAGGGGAAAAGTAGAACTATATTTACTAAATTTATACACACATATCCCCTGCTACAGTGAAAGACCATGAATATTAAAAGGGACATTCAGTAATAGGGACAATAAGTATTCTTAACCACATCTTAACTCTTATATATTTCATTCCTTTGGTCACAAAAACAAGACTATCATTAGACATATTGTGATGTTCCTACCCACTACCTACTAGTGGTTGTTATTAATATGATGGCCTAAGAATGTGCTGGACATATGGTTAAACTAGAATACTTACAATGCAATTAATTGAGAGCAAATATAAGTGCAAAAAAACCTAAAATCTTATGAACCAAATATGCAAAAAGAAAGTTATGGTTCGGCCCTCCCTGTGGCGCAGCGGGTTAAAGCACAGCACTGAGAAGCTAAAGCCACTTCTGCAATGAGTTCGATTCCCGCCTGCCCTGGAGGTGACCACATGGTGTGGCAGACCTCTCCTGACCCGCCCACTGCTCCCCTCAGCAGTGTACTTCGTAGATCTGCCTGTTCTGCTCCCCACTCTGTCTCTGGTGAGGCCTCTCAATGCACCTGAGCCTCTGGCCTGTACCCCAGTTCTGTATGAACAAATAAATAAATCTTTAAAAAAAAAAAAGAAAGAAAAGAAAGTTATGGTTCATCATTCAGTGATAATTCTGGAAAGTCTTTAAGTATTTCTAGTATATAGACATATTGGTTTGCAAATTATCAGTTACTAAAGAGATCGAAGCATAGAGAGAAAAATAAATTTTTAGGTATCACTACCAAGTAATGATCAATAAAAGATGACAGTGATTCTGAATTCAAGACATGATGTATAGTAGCTGTAAAACATGGGCCAACTTACAAATACACATTTATACATTTAGCTATTAAAGACCTAACTATTCTGAAGTAAATGATAAAGCACAAACTAAATGTCTTTTAAAAAAAAATGTATTTACTCATAGCAGGTGGTCATACATTTAACGTGCATGTCAGACTATATCTGGGTATTGTAGCTGAAGGAAATGAGTGTTTTTTAGGACCCTGGTGAAATCCAGTAGTGACAACAGCAACATAGAGAGGAATATGTTTAAAATTAAAATGGCTGTGGCATTTTATGGTCAGCTAGTGTTCTATAATGTATTTAACCTTCCTAAGGCATCCTTCTAAATGCTGTCAACTTTTTTTCACAGGACGCATGTGAAGGGAATATAGAGTTTCGAGAGGTCTCTTTCTTCTATCCATGTCGCCCAAATGTTTTCATCCTTCGTGACTTATCCCTCTGTATTGAGAAGGGGAAAACAGTAGCATTTGTTGGCAGCAGTGGCTGTGGAAAAAGCACTTCTATCCAACTTCTGCAAAGATTTTATGACCCTGTAAAAGGACAAGTGGTAAGACTGAATTTAAATACAACTTATCTGGCATTGGTGATGCTATTCATAAACATAAACATTTTCTTGGGCTTCAGCATCCTCAGTGGTTTGAATAGAATCAACAGTACGAGAGATTTTTTTTTTTTCAATCTCTATTTCTCAGCTAAGAAGACAGGCAAACTAATAACAAAAATAATGAATAGGACTCTAGGCTAAGTTCAAAGACTCATTCTCCAGCCATTATGGTGGCAAAAATTCTGACCTTATGAGCCATGAATCTCTTTCCGAATACAGTGTTGGAGGACAGGTCTATGTCCATATCTTAGCTCTCCCTTTATTCTCTTCTGATTTAAGACATTAATAATTTCCTTTTCCTCCCTGGTTTAGCCTTCCTGCTGTTGCCTTTGGCTACCTCATTCCCTCCAAATGTTTAAAGCTTTTGCATAAAGGTTTTAAAGGTTTTTTTTTTTTTTTTTTGATTCAGCTACATTAAATCCTGTCTTCTAATCTCAAAAAAAAAAAGCCCTTCAAACTTTCAAACTTCAAGGACTGTTGTTTGTTTTGTTTTACCTCACCCTACCTTATATTACCTTATATTTAGGTTTTCAATTATACTTTCTCCCCCAACAAACCTTCTCTCTCTCCCTCTCCCTCACTCTCTCTCTCTCCTTCTCTCCCTCTCTCCCTTTCTCTCTCTCTCTCCTCTCTCTCTCTGGTTCTCTCTCTCTCCTCTCTTACTCTCTCTCACTCTCTCGCTCTCTCTCTCACACACATACCCTTTCCTATCCTCTCTTCCGCCTAATAAAAAACTACTAAAAATGAGGGCTAAAAATTAGGACTAAAAATTTAGTCCCTAAAAATTAAGTCTGTCATATTAGTATTCCTCCTCCTACTGTTTATGTAGCCTTTTCCCCCTCACCAATTCTGTTTGCAAAAGTAAATGACACAAAATGGCTCTCTTGTATATAATGTAGCACACTCCCTCCTTTAAACTCTCCAATGGTTTCCAAGACAGTTAGGATAAGTCAGAGTCTATACCATCATTCAAAGTCCTTCATAATTTAGCCTTTACCTTCCTCTCCAAACTCCTTTTCTGTCACTCCTCACCTAGTTGTACACAATGTCAGTCTTACTGGTTTCTTTGCTTCTTTTAACATACTTACAAGCCTTTGTTTTTGCTGTAACACAGCGTAGAATATTCTTACTCTAACTTCTTTGCTGGCTCCTTGTCATCATTCATATCTCATAGTAGCTGCCACTTGCTGAGGATTTCTTAGATTACTCAATAGAAAACAATGCATCCCACCCCTTTCCCACATCTTCAGACATTCTATACCATTACCCTGTTTTCATAGCACTCTCTTTTTCTGGGTTTATTACTTGTTAGTGTGCTTATTTCCTAGCCCTCTCTGCTAGTATGTAATCTGTGGAAGGGAACAAGTTTTATCTTATTTATCACAACTTTCCTGGTACCTGAAGGCTCCCCATCATGTAGTAGGTATGTTCATCAAATGTCAGCTGACTGTTATAGGTCCATGTGGATAGGTATGGTTATGTGCAAAATAACATGTTTCTACACCATGTATAAATCTACACCAACTCTATCACTGGACCAGGAAAAAGATGGATTCTGCTTTGCAGTACAGGCTGGACATTTCCACCTGACTGCAGTATAGACTATTCTAAACTTTGGGGAGGTTTCTAGAATATGTGGCAATTCCTAGAAATGTCAAGTAAGTTAAGTTGGTATTTTAATCAGTTTGATGCTGTCTGCTTCTATACAACATAATTTATGAGCCATCCTTGGGTAACATTATACTACAAACTAGCTTAAATTCCTAACATTTTTGTTATGATTTGTATATGTTTAAATACAGTGAACCGTAACATGATGATACAGTTGTTGGATCTTCACATATCATTCTCCATTTGGCAGCTGTTCGATGGTGTGGATGCAAAAGAACTGAACATACAGTGGCTCCGTTCCCAAATAGCAATCGTTTCTCAAGAGCCTGTACTTTTCAACTGTAGCATTGCTGAGAACATTGCCTATGGTGATAACAGCCGTGTTGTGCCATTAGATGAGATCAAAGAAGTAGCAAATGCAGCAAATATCCATTCTTTTATTGAGGGTCTCCCTGAGGTAAGAAAAAATCTTGACTACAAATTTGCCAAGTAGTTTACTGGGCATAAGGGGTTTCTTTTATATGCCCCTTGAATTACACAATTACTTATTGCCTATAACTAACATAAAGTTAGATTTGAAAAGCAAAGATTTTTGTATGACTAATTTATCCAAGACCAAGCTACATTAATATTCAATGAATGAACTTTATATTTGGATTCCTCACTTTCAGTAGTTGTATGCTCATATCTGTACCACCATTGTCCCCTCTTGTCCACTCCATGGTGCTTTCTACCTCGTCTTATGCTGTTATAATTCTTTTTCCTCACATCAATCAGAGAAATTATTTAAAAATATAAATTAGATCATGTTCCTCTCTGCTTAATACTTCCTAATGGTATCCCTTTTTTACTTAGAATGAAGTCCAAACTGCTTATTAATTGAAAAGGTGTATGATCTGCTCCCCCTGCCTCTGTAACTCCATCATTACCTTGTGCTTACTTTGATCCTGCTGAGCTGGCTTCTTTTCTGTCTCATAAGCCTGCCAAGTGCTTTCCTAATAAGACATTTATACTTGTTATTTCTTCCTCTGACTCTTGCAGAGCCAACTCCCTAACTTTGAACCTCTGTCATATGAAGAGACCTTCCTGAACACCCTATTTTTAAAAGTGCCCACTAGTCCTCTTACCTGTACCACGTCACATCACAGTCTTCAGGATGCTTATAACAGTCTGAAATTATCCTGAGTGCTCCTGACTTGTGTAGTGTCTCCCCTCCTTAAGATAAAAATGCCTGCCATTTTTATCAGCTTGACCTCTGTATTGGCTGTGACCATTGATTCAAAATCTCAAAAAAGCCCAAAATTTTGACTTATTATAGATAAGGATTTAGCACAGTAAACATTGATACAAATCTAGAGATACAAAGAAACAGTTAATGGTAATTTAAAGTGTTTAACTATCTATGAGTGTTCACATTTGTGTACACACATAAATAAAGAAAATCACAATGTAGAACCTCCCTAGTGACTCAAGGGGTTGTGTTTCAGCACTAGGAAGCTATAGGCAGCCACTGCAGCACAAGTTCGATCCCTAGAGGGGAGCTAATCCACATGGCGTGGCAGACCTCTCCTGTCTTACCCACTGCTCCCCTCAGCAGTGTACTTCATTAGCAGTGTATGGCCTCTTCTGCTCCCTACTCTGTCTCTGGTGAATCCCTTCCTCTGGGCTGCACTCCAACACTTATATGCATAAATATAAATAAATAAATCTTAAAGTCACAATATAAATTCTGTTTATAATTAAAAATAGGTATCTATTTTAATTTAGTTTTAACCTATTTTTAATTAGAAACAAAATTTTATATTATGATTTTCTAACTTACTTTAAAATCAAATGTCAGCACTTAATAGCCATTTTATCAAACAACTAATTGAGTGCCTTGTTCTTTAAGAGAGGGTAATGGTCATCAGTCTTCTTTATTCTACTAAATCTTCCGTCACTATCTCCTATCCACACTAAACGGTTCCTAAAACTAGAAATAGGACAATAGTATAACTTCTTTTACAGCAAACTACAGCAAAGTTCTGTAGTACTTACTATAAAGGAAGGATTAACATTTTTTTTAAAGATTTATTTATTTGTGCATACAGAACTGGGGTACAGGCCAGAGGCTCAGGGGCGGCGAGAGGTTTCACCAGAGACAGAGTGGGGAACAGAACAGGCAGATCGACGAAGTACACTGCTGAGGGGAGCAGCGGGCGGGTCAGGAGAGGTCTGCCACACCATGTGGTCACCTCCGGGGCAGGCGGGAATCAAACTCATGCGGAAGCGGCTTTAGATTCTCAGTGCTGTGCTTTAACCCGCTGCGCCACCAGGGAGGGCCCATTTACTTTTTTTTAATTGAGGTAATAGTTGGTCACCCCCATCACCTTGGCTTTTATCCTTACCTTGTTTATTATATATAGCTACATACTGCTGAGACTCATTGTACTAAATATTCACAGTAAACTTTGAGAACCAATGTGCTATATCATAAAAGAAAAACCTGTTTGTTTCTTGGTGTGTGTTTTTTTTTTTTTTAAGATTTATTTATTTATGGATCACCTCCTTGACCTGGGATTGAACTTGCAATGAGGCGGCTGAGGCCAGCTTCTTAGTGCTGTGCTTTAACTGGTTGAGCCCAAAGGGAGGGCCTACCGTGTTTATTACAGCATTATTTACAGTAGCTAGATACAGATAACCTAAGTGCCCACTAATGGAGAATTATATCAAGAAGAATTGGTATACCCAAACTGTGAAATACTGTTCAGCCATAAGGAAAGATGAAATGCTGTCATTTGTAGCAAAATGAAAGGAGTTCAAGAGAATAATGAGTAGTAAATGAGAATGACAGATAATGCTGGACATTCTCATAGCAGATAATTCAACAAAGTAAAATGCAAACACTAATAGACATTAATAAATTAAGTGAGGTTTCTCAGGTAAAGAAGGGAATAAAAGGAGAATGGTTTAAGAAGATAAAAGGGAGATGGGGGTGGAGGAAAGAAACACATTTATGTGAAAGGATTTAAGTGTTGGGGGGCAGTTAAGAAATCTGAACTCCTGACATATAAGGCATAAATTGAGGAATTGAGAAGGGGTCAGATGTAAATTGACGAAATGTGACTATGCTGATACCAGACTAAGAATTTTAGACACTAATTTATTGAAAATAAGAAACTGCTGATATTTTTCAGTAAAGAAATAACATTATCGGGTCCTCCCTGGTGGCACAGAAGGTTAAAGTGCAGCACTGTAAGCTAGCCACAGCTGCTTCAGTGTGATTTAGAACCCCCACCAGGGAGGTGATCCACATGGTGTGGCAGACCTCTCCTGTCTCACCCGCTTGTTCCCCTCAGCATTGTACTTTGTAGATCTGCCTGTTTTGCTCCCCACTCTATCTCTGGTGAATCCTGTTACAGTCCCTG